CACTGAAGACACATGCCAAGATTCTACGTATGATCTTTTAATGTTACATTGCTTTGAAAAATACTGAGAGATCAATTCCTTGATCATTTATATTTCCGAATTGAAATTTGGGACACCCACTGGAGTCAATAAGAGTTTTGGCAATGACATCAGAGGGGCCAGAATTTCATCATTAGAGCACATCTACACAGCAGGGCCAAAGCTGAATTAAACTATTAAGTCAATTGCATAGCTTAAATAAAATAGCTTAACTTGGCTTTTGGCACAGCAGGAAGCCAAAGGAAAAACACTCTTCCTTCGACTTCCCTTACTTCTCATAAAATGAATGTTACAGGAGTAAGAGTAAGAAGTCCTCCAACTCAACATTATTTTGAAATAATGGCTTGCAGTGTAGATACGCTTTTTGTTATTTTGGAATAACGCTAGTACCCTTAGATGTGTAGATGTACCCTTAGATCAGAATAATGAGGAACAAGAGATTAAGGATCTGAATTCACTGTTTTACTTTCATAAATATTTTCCATTATCCTATTCTATACTTCAAGCAAATGTGGAATCTCTTTTATAGGAATGCCAAAGGCGAATGAATTACCTTTTAGATGTTTACATATTTGCTCCTGAAGATCTGGCTCTGAATGCAACAGTGCTACTGTGGCCTCAGAAGATTAACCCCATCTTCGATGAACATGATGATGTAAAGATATTTTCTTTGTACATTATATATTCTAATTTGTTAAACCTTGTGTTACAATCCTCCTTAAGAAGTGGGCGTACCATGGTTTTATATAGAGGCAATAAGATATTTTCTGTCTTATTCTCTATCCCTTTTTTAATGATTCCTAACATTCTATTTGCTTTTTGACTGCCACTGCACACTGAGTGGATGTTTTCAGAGAATTCTCCACAATGACTCCAAGATGTCTCTCTTGAGTAGTTATAGCCAAATTAGTCCCCATCATATTATGTAGTTGGAATTATTTTTTCCAATGTGTATTACTTTACATTTATCAACATTAAATTTCATTTGCCATTTTGTTGCCCATACGTCCATCCTCTCCTCCTGACTAGAACGTAGAGCATTTCTATTGATAGAACCTCTCCTATGTCTGTATTTGAATAATTTGTTTTAACTGCTGAGAATTGCTGTCCTGTCCAAATGTGTGTAATAACATTCATTATAAGGCACTCAAATAGTATGGTACCAGATTTATGTATTCATAATAAGTGAGTGCACTGATGGAAAATACATAATTAGATATTTAGCAAATACCAGCAGGCTACAGATATAGGAAATTATAACTGTTTTTGAGCTTATAGCCTTTGTTAAGTCTCATATCTTTTACTGTGATAATTCAGAGGGAGATGAAAATTCACTAGAATGCACTTAGCCAATTGTATAATACTTTACACACTAGGAAAAATTCCTTCCAGACTCCAAAAGGTTTGTGCCTGGAACCATGAAAAATGAATATAATCCTTTAAATGTGTACACTTATCACTATGATATCTGAGGGATAAATCCAAGCCGTTTAAAATTTCAACTATGGCTATATGCTATGTGAAGAAATTAATTGCATTATTTTATTTCTAAATATACTGGCTATTGTTTTTCTTGTGACTTTGTTCTGTAAATAAATCAGAATTAGGGATTTAAGTTATTCAATGATAGTTAACTAATGAAGAATATTTAATAGTTTTGTGTAAATCTGGTCCATAATAGATTACTATCTTAACCTTCTACTACTACTGTTATTCATGTTGTAGTTCTTTCTCAGTGCCTATGGTAGCAAATTGGAGTATCCTTATGCTTTCCCATAAGTTGTAGGGAGTTTAAGGTCAGGGCCGGACTAAGGGGTGGGCTAGCCGGGCAGCTGCCCAGGGTGCCAACTTACGGGGGGCGCCCGGCTCCTGGCGGGCTGCAGCGGCCACCTGGAGCAGGGGCTGTGTTAACCCCCGCAGCACCAGCCAGCAGCGCCCTTCCCCCCGTGGCTGCAGGGCCCTGCATCGCCAGGTGCAGCCCACCCCGGTCAGCCCTGGGCTGCGCGCCATCAGTGGTGGCTGAGCTGATCGGGCAGTGCATGTGCCGTGGGTCCGCCCACCCGCCCCAGGGGTGGGCCCGCGCATGCGCTGTGCGCCCGGAGGTGGGGCTGTGTGCCCCGAGGGTGGCGTGGCACACGGCGCCGCACACCTGGGGCCCGGCGCGCCAAAATAGCTCGGGCTGGCCCTGTTTAAGGTTATAGTTTGCTAGCTTGGAATTTTTGTAGTTTTTGAGAGAGAAATTTTTAAGCCTGTTAGGTGAAAAATTCCAGAGCACTTTTCTTTCTTTAAACTTTGCTGAGGAATACTTCTGAAAGGAGTATATCTTTGGGCTTGGAAATGTGCCAAGATTGTTATGTCCAATGATGTGTACACAAAATGTTTATTTTGTTTAGGGAAGTGTTGCATTTCTAGCATGTATGCCATCAGATTTGTTTAACTGAGCACACAGACAACTCTTATGATGCTTCTTTTAAAATTGTATTTTCATAGAAAGGTCAATATGAGAATCAGTCTTCATCTAGCCTCTATGGCACCAATCCTTATCTCTCACACATTCCTATTTTTGCAATTCAGGAATTTCTTCTTCTTTTGAGTAATTCTGTTCATCTGCATAATCACTTTTGCATGGAAGCAGAAGCACTTCTCATAAGAGATCTCTTCCTTCACCTATATTGATTCCTGAGAGTAGCTTTGGAAGGAGTTCATCTTGTCACCGATCCCATGCTTCAGAGGTCTCATATTCTTGGTTTCCAGCTTTTGCAGCACCATATGTCCTTCCAGTATGGATCTCCGACCTGACCGTGTCAATTTGCAGTTCAGTCCCTGAATTGAAAAATCAACTATTTGCTCAGTTCTAGTTGTAGACTGCATTCAAATTTCCTATTTTTAAAATAAACTACCTCTTCCCTCTTCAGTTAGGGTGCACTCTGGTAGGGCCCAGTTGACATCTTTGGCTTGTTTCAGAGAGGTGCCTGTTGCTAAAATTTGTAGAGTAGCTACTTGTGGTTAATTTGTATCTTTACCAGTTAATAGTCCATTGTCACAATTCCTAGGTCAGATGTCCAATTTGCTCTGCAGGACTTTTCTTCAGTTGTTATTTATATTAAACTCTTATAACTTACTTGCTGAGGTGTAACAGTTAGTCACTTATCAAAAGTGTGATCTGTATGGACAAAATCTTCTCAAATAACTCTAGTTATTTGAAGGGAAATAATCTGTCTGTTCCATTTATTTTCTCTCTATCCATGTGGATAACATTTATATATGAGACACTGATGCCATATGTGTTGATAAATCAGATGTCTACTGCAAGTTTTTTTTCCTAACACATTTAAATTGTTTGTTTTACAGCTGATTGAACAATCTAAACGTAAAGGAGAAAGCGAACTACTGGCCAAACGTGAGAAGCTTATTTTGGAACTAGAAAAGCAGACTCGCTGTATGGAAGAGTTCTCAGAATTCTCAGAACTGGATCACATGCAAGAGGTCTGATGAACATATTGTAAAAGTGGTTCAAAGAGTCGTATATGCTTAATACAAGAAATAGGATTGTGATTTTAGAAAAAGGTGTGTCCAACACAAGGATAAATGTTAAACATCTATTACTGTATTATGCTGGTGAAACTCATTAGATACCCACTTTTGCACTAACAACTTAGTGTTACTAATATTCTGATTGGAGGAAAAATTTACCATGATGACTTTTTTTGTTTGTTTAAATCAGTTAAAAGGTAGTCGTAGAGTGGAGCAATATTCATACCCTTGATGAAAATCCTTATGCTACTGAAATTAATGGGAATTTTGTTGTTGATTCCACCGGGATCATGATTTCAGTAGCTGGTTTTAGTATGTTTACTTTTGGGAAGTGAAATCATTAAATTACTTCACTGGGGCTTCAGTCAATAATTTTACTAGGAATTGGCCAGTTACATATGTAAACCCCTCTTTCCTCCCTGGATTATCCAAGAGCAGGCCACACTCACCTCTGTGCCTGGTTGCCTGATGTTTTTAACATTAAAGGAGACCCTGAGTATCCCAGTGGTGATGTTGGATAGTTGGGGATCCCCTATCTACCCCTTTGCTGCAGTCCCTTGCTTCTATAGGACTATACAATGGCAATGCCTCCACCTGGCTGGCCCCTGTGCACACTTACTGGTATGTCTTGGGAGCCTCCAGGAATAAACTTATTCCAGTAATAATCTGGCTGTAACTCCAAAACAACGACTTTTAATCTAATCAGATATATATTATTTGTAATACTCCTTTACTTAATAACTTAAACTCTGTTTCTTTAACAGATTGACATTGATTAAAATCAATTAACAAAGTATACAGAAATAATGAAACATTTATCTAACTGGTATTTATACTGCCACCATTTATTCCACCCCAGAGTATGCACTCCTCTGGATCTCAGAGTCCCAGACACTTACTTGCACGGGTGTGCTTGAAAGTCTGCAGCTGGAGTGGAGACAGTACTGTGCAGATTGTATGTGTGTATGTCAGTCCAAGCTAGGCAACAACTGCAAAATCCTTCGGACACTGGCCCACCAAATACCAGCAGCTCTGTTTCACTGGGCAGATCACTCTGCCTCTTTTCAGACCCAGAATCAATCTGTCTTCTGTGCTCCATCCCAGGCAGCACTTTCCCAAACAGCCACAGTTACTCCCAGTAACTTCTGTTCAGGCCCTTCTCATCCAGAGGTACAGCCAGAGTCTCTTGCTGCCAGGGACAATCATCAATAGCCTCTGAAGCAGCCTGCTAAATCAAAGCCCCAGCAAGCTCTTAGCAGCAGGCTCTAGGTTCCAGCAGCAGCTCCTGGACTGGAAAAGGATCCATACCAGCAATCTGGTTCCTCTCTCCAAACTGGAGCCCACCAACTCACTCCTTGCATTGGAAGAGAGCAACAGTTTTCCTCCTTTTCCCCCAAGGCACCATGGGAATTGTAGTCTTTAGGACTAGATTGCAGCACAAAGGATCATCCTAGTAAAAGTCAGAGATTCCTATAGTAATGGGACTACACACAAATTTAAAAACTCCACTGAGTAGTAATGGTAGGCTGAAGGCAGATCTGAATCTTCATGACTTTCCTGTTCCCTTTCCTGCTTACTAAACACACTCTGCTATACTTTTAATTTAAAATATAGCTTTAACTTCTTGACTGAGTAATTGAGTACATTTAAAAAAATGTTTGCAAAGCATGAAACTGTTGTTTAAACTTGGAAATTACAGTTGCTAAGAGTACAGATTAACTATAAAAAAGTTAACAATATGTGTTCTTTTCTAGTACAATATATTTTTGAAACCTCAAACTATTTGATAACCCTTTTACAATACTTCAGTTTGAAAACAGTAAAACTGTTTACTTTGTTTTTCTGAGCATTAATCTAGTCTTCTCACTGTGAAAAAACTCAATTCATGTGCATGAGGGCCATGTTGTTGTCTTTGAGAGGCTAATGTTATTCTATATGTAACCCTTCTGCCAGGCTGAGTTAATAGTAGCAAGGGCCGGGTTTCCAGTATCTAGGGGTCTCCTCCCAACAACGTAATACAACACTGCCTCGAGCCCCCACCCAGTGACCTGAGAGCCTCACACCCCTGAGAGCACACACACCTGAGAGCCTCAAAGAGGCAATTCTTCCCCTCTCGCAAGCACAGAGCCTCGGTATAGCAGCAAATCTTTAATAACATGAGGTAACCGACATCAGCATTAAATTGGGAAAACACCACAACTCGGATTCATAGACCAAACATGAGCAAAGCCCCACCCCCAGCCAAGAATCACCCAAAGTCCCCAAAAGTCGAACACCCCAAGATTCTCTTGAGTCCAGCAACCCAAAAAAATCACCAAAGTCCGACACCCCAAAAGTCTCTGCCCCGGGTTAGTGCCGCCCCAAGTTTCAAAAGTTCATCGGCAGGGTTTTGCCATCCCAACCTGGGTAGAATGGAGGGGGCGGGGGTTGATACACCTTACGTGGTCTGCCAACGGCTCCGCCTCTCCGTAGGGGTCTGCTGCCACCATCAACACGAGTCATTCTGCCATACTCCACCTGCTGTCCCGTGAGCCATCTCAGCCGCCCCACGCACTGCCCTGCTCTGCCGGCCGTCTCAGCCCACGCCCCTGGCCGCCAGCTGGTTGCTCCTGCAGCTGCTCCACCGGCTGGCCCCTACCGGCTGCCCACTGGTTGTCCCCACCAGCTGCTCTGCTGGCTGCCTGTGCCCGTTGGTTGTTCCCGCAAACTGCTCTGCTAGCCGTCCCATGAACTGCTCTGCTAGTAGCTCAGCAGTATAGCGTCAGGCTCGCCATGGCGCACAGTGATTTCAGCTCATAGTAGATGTCAGCTCTTCAGTAATTTCAGCAGTATAGTGTCAGGCTCCCCATAGCACACTGCGATTTCATCTCTTCAGCAAGTTCAGCTCATAGTAGAGGAGCTTCAGTGCTAGTGCACCATTGGCCCACAGTGAAGTCAGCTCAGCAGCTTGCAACTAGACTCCTAATGGAATCCAAATTAGCTCTGATATTCTACAATGGAGAGAGGAGGGGTTGCAATTGGTGTGTTTTAGGCCCTCAAACAGGGCCTCACCACCAGGTACAAAGACCTGTCCCCAGCCTCTCTCTAGTGAGTGCTAATTAGTTAATGGTGAATCCCTCTGTCATAAAACAGTTCCACTAATCCACTGTCCTTGATTCACATAATCAGGGTAACAACACTTTATCCCCCCTGCCTCAATAACAGAGAGATTGGGGATCTCACAGTGGCAAAGTGACCATTTGGGATGCTGTGAGCACATATTAGGCGGGGTGGGTGTGCCTATGCAAACGACATCAGCCCCTGAAGTCTTTTTGCACCACTTGCCACAATTCACCATCAGATGTAAGGGTAGAGCTTATCCTGACCCTGCTTACATATATATCTCACAAATTACTTGTAATTTTGAAAAGCCAATGATTTACTGCATTTTGGTATTATGTAATTATGTCTATTCATAATATAACTCAAATTATTTCAAAAGATATAAAATCATTTGATTTCAGTATGTGAAAGCCATGAGAGCATTGCAGAAACGCACACAGGAAGCAGAGGAAACAGTAGCTTTTGCCCGTTGGTTGTTCCCGCAAACTGCTCTGCTAGCCGTCCCATGAACTGCTCTGCTAGTAGCTCAGCAGTATAGCGTCAGGCTCGCCATGGCGCACAGTGATTTCAGCTCATAGTAGATGTCAGCTCTTCAGTAATTTCAGCAGTATAGTGTCAGGCTCCCCATAGCACACTGCGATTTCATCTCTTCAGCAAGTTCAGCTCATAGTAGAGGAGCTTCAGTGCTAGTGCACCATTGGCCCACAGTGAAGTCAGCTCAGCAGCTTGCAACTAGACTCCTAATGGAATCCAAATTAGCTCTGATATTCTACAATGGAGAGAGGAGGGGTTGCAATTGGTGTGTTTTAGGCCCTCAAACAGGGCCTCACCACCAGGTACAAAGACCTGTCCCCAGCCTCTCTCTAGTGAGTGCTAATTAGTTAATGGTGAATCCCTCTGTCATAAAACAGTTCCACTAATCCACTGTCCTTGATTCACATAATCAGGGTAACAACACTTTATCCCCCCTGCCTCAATAACAGAGAGATTGGGGATCTCACAGTGGCAAAGTGACCATTTGGGATGCTGTGAGCACATATTAGGCGGGGTGGGTGTGCCTATGCAAACGACATCAGCCCCTGAAGTCTTTTTGCACCACTTGCCACAATTCACCATCAGATGTAAGGGTAGAGCTTATCCTGACCCTGCTTACATATATATCTCACAAATTACTTGTAATTTTGAAAAGCCAATGATTTACTGCATTTTGGTATTATGTAATTATGTCTATTCATAATATAACTCAAATTATTTCAAAAGATATAAAATCATTTGATTTCAGTATGTGAAAGCCATGAGAGCATTGCAGAAACGCACACAGGAAGCAGAGGAAACAGTAGCTTTTATTAATAAAGAAGAGGATCTCTTCAAGTGGGAGCTGACTGAGTATCCTGTTCTTGAAAGTTTAAAAACTAATATCGAGCCCTATCAGAAACTTTTTGTTCTTATACTGAAATGGCAACGAACAGAAAAACGGTAATTATATACTTAATGGTCTTAAAGCTAAATTAAGCAAAAGGCTGAAAGATCCAGGCTCCTTTTGTATGTCCAAGATATGTGAGTTACTTTGAAATTTAACTCCTGCATGTGAATGTTTTCATCTCAGTGTTTATATCAGTAGTTTTCAACCTTTCCAGACTACTGTGCTCCTTTCAGGAATCAAATTTGGCTTGTATACTCCAACTTTCACCTCATTTTAAAAATACTTGTTTACAAAAATCAGACATAAAAATACAGAAGTGTTTCAGCAATTATTACTGAAAAAATTGCTGACTCTGTTATTTTATCATATAATTATAAAATAAATTGACTGGAATATGAATATATTCAAGTGATACTTGAGCCTGTTTTTCACTGGTGAGCCTTATGTGAAAACTGAGTCCCACGTCACGGGGCTGAATCATGTAACTTAGCTTCATTGAGCCCCCTGGGTAATTGCCCAGCTTGTCACATCTTAACACAGGTCCTGCACATGCTATATCCCTAAATCTGTTCCATGATTCCTTTCCCCCTAGGGGCTGCAACCCCCAGGTTGAGAAACACTGATCTAGAAGACCTGGAAGACCTCAGTGTATCATTGATATAGATGGTTCCTTATGTTTATATTTTTGTTTTATATTTTAACATGATAAGCATAACTGTAAATATTTATGTATATGTGTGTAGTCACTTGAATACTGACTGCTCTTGGTATTGGTCAAACATGAAAGAGAGAACAATTCTTATAAAAATAATTTCTGAGAGCTCTGTGGAAGTTTTGAGGAAAAAATTGGAATAGATGTAA